GGTTGGTTCCACGAAGCATGCATAGATCTGACAGCAACTTCTTACAACAAACTCAGCAAGTCAGACCGAAAGTGGGTATGTGTCACGTGCAGCACGGACGCAGTAGTCTTGCTGAGTAACATCATTGTCCTACTGACAGGTCTTCGGAACAAGTTGTCAGTTAACTTGGATAACACTAGTAAAAAAACCGGTCGACAAACAAGAGCGTGCGACGGACTCAAAAATAGGGATGTCGATAGGTATACCATCGATGGAGCATCCATCAACACTAATGACGACGTATCGAGGCTCAGCACCATCATTACGTCGACAGTATTAGAATCTCTAAACAAGCTCGGGTCTCCAAGCTCAGGGTCCCTGAACACAACAGTGGTTCCCAAAAACCCTGTAAGTGATTCGACCCACGTTAAGAGAGCCCAAAAGAACCAGACATCACCGCCTAAGCCGAGCAACCCAAGTGTTGCTGCACGGAAAATAACTGGTGATTTGGTCGCACAGTCTACCCCCAAGACTGTTCGTCCGGTCAATAAAGAGCCCAAGATTCAAAAACGCACACTGACCTCCAAACAACAAGTTATTAAACCTGAACCCATCGTGAAACCTGGTAAATTAACAACAGTTCGTGACGATTCTCTCATTATCATGAACCTCGTTGACAATCCTGACCTTCCTCTCAGTCTGCAGGACAAAAACGACAGGATGCTCTGGGGTGAATTGAACAAGAAGCTCAGACTTCCTAGAATAGAGCCTTTGACGGTCACCCGGCTCACTCGAGGAAAGGATTCTAAGCATCTAAATCACCCGAGGCTTCTCCGAGTAACAATTAAGAATGCAACCGACATAGAGGACGTCTTGCTAGCAAAACACTTGCTGAAATCAGATGGTAACGTAAGAATATTGCCCGACATACCGTACTCTGAGCGCAATATCATACGAAACATCCCTAAAGAATCTCGCGAGAAGTTTTTCCGCGGTAGAAACATAATTGTTCAAGGTATACCGGAAAATGCAGACCCTACTCAATCACATTCTGACATCAGGGAATGGAAATTCATCAAACAGTCCTTGAGGCTCAAACATATACTGACTCAGCATGTGACGAGACTAGTCAAGAAGGACGGTGACCCTAGACCCCGTCTAATGAAGATAACCTTCCCATCTTCCCACATGGCGGCTGCAGTTCTGGAAGCATTTCGTGCCAATAGACGTCGATTGCCACCTGGAATCCACATGCACCCGGATAGGCCATACGAAGCTAGGACCAAGAACAAAGGCAAGTTGGAGCTGATCATTCCACTTGTGGACTGTCTAAACGATAAAAAAAACGTGTAAATGACAGGGCCTACCACCTCGGCAAACCTCATATAGGTAGGCTACCTGTCCATTCACACAAGGTTCATACAGAAAAACAGGACGAAGCTCACGCGTTCCAAATTGAAAGCATAAACTGCTTATGTATGAATGCCGCGAGTCTACCAAACTAACTGGATGAACTACGTGAACTTAGCAACGCTAATAAGGCCCATCTGATAGGAATATCTGAAACCTGGATATCTTCTCAGTTCTCGGACCAAGAGTTAGCATTACCTGGGATGACTTTGTTCCACAACGACAGAAAAACAGGAATTGGGGGCGGAGTAGCCATATACATAAGCTCTTGCTTGGAGGTGCACCAAGTTCACAACCTCGAGTTTAACAATCTTGAGGAATCCATATGGTGCTCTGCAAGATTGTCTAGTACTTCGAGGTGCCTAGTCGGAGTCATTTACAGGAAGCCAACTGCCGACATCGAGTACGATAGTCGTATGCTGGAAGGACTATCCCGCTCTAACCGTCTCGGTTACACACACATCCTGATTCTAGGGGACTTTAATCTCCCTAGAGTCAACTTCGCAGAACACACGTACACTGGAGGCGACAACTCAATTGAAGCTCGGTTCTACAACCTCATCGATGACTTGGGCTTATATGAAAATGTGAGGTCGGCAACTCGTTGGAGAAACAGTCAGACACCATCGCGCTTAGACTGTGTATTCACTAACGATGAATTCCTAGTCGACAACCTCTCAATCCTGGCTCCTCCGGGAAAGAGCGATCATGCCGTCATAGCCTTCAGTTTTGTCATCAAAACTAAGCTAAGGTATCCCAACAATAATTTGCGTTGGAATTTTAAACGGCTGAATGTGCCAGCTCTACATGACTATCTACAACAGGTGGTTTGGGATGTTCACCCTCAGCTCGATGTGGATGGTCATTGGGACTTCTTACTGCACACGCTCTTATGTGCTACAGACCATTCAGTTCCTCAAACGGTTCCCAAAAGCTGCAAGCCACCTACAGTTATCAAGAACCGTACCCTTCGCCTGCTAAACCGCAAAAGGCACTGCTGGGCGGAATACAAACGAACTAATAACGATGGAGCGTATAGGCAATATAAACATATCAGGAACATATGCACGAAGGCTATAAGAGAAGACAGGCTTCAGTACCAAACAAAGCTTATGGACAAATTCGCCTCTAACCCTAGAAGCCTATTCCGTTATGCAGCCTCTCTTCGTCAAGCCAAAACAGGAGTTTCTCAACTGGTAGGTCTTAACGGCCCGACCAACAATGATGGCGACGCCGCTAACTTTCTGGCGGCACATTACTCTCAAACATTTCGACCGGCTGACATCAACTTTATTGATGACAGTTTCATCTGCAATTCCACAGGACTTTCTGAAGTGGACCTAAGCGTTGACTTGGTGTTCCGGAAATTGCAGCACTTGAGACTAGACACTTCTCCTGGCCCGGATACGGTTCATCCTGCCATACTGAGGGAGGCAGCCTCAATCCTGGCAACGCCGCTTAGCGTGATGTTTTCACACTCGCTTAGCCGAGGCAAATTACCGGAAAATTGGAAATTGGCTCACATCACACCAATTTTCAAAGGAGGTCGACGCAATGAACCTTCAAGTTATCGGCCGGTGGCTCTTCTGTCATTACCTTCAAAACTCATGGAGTCCCTGATATGCGACGGTTTAAATGACTATCTACTGTCCTTAAATTTCTTCTCACCCCAACAGCATGGTTTCAGGAAGAGTTACTCTTGTATAACCAACCTGCTGACTGCGGTGGACAGATGGACAAGCATCCTCGAATGCAAGGGAAAGGTTGATGTCATTTACCTTGATTTCTCAAAAGCTTTTGATAAGGTTAACCACTTGTGTCTTATCAACAAGCTCAAACGACTAGGTATCAAACCACCCCTAATCGATTGGCTTACTTCATACCTAAAAAATCGACACTTTAAGGTTAGGGTTAATTTCACTTTATCTCAGGCTAAGGAATGTCCTAGTGGGGTCCCCCAGGGCTCAGTACTAGGGCCTCTTCTCTTCTTGATCTACATAAATGATCTTCCTCAACAGGTAACGTCAGATTTATTACTTTTTGCCGACGACGTGAAACTTTGGAGAGAGATACGCAACCAAGACGATACACAGGCACTTCAGGAGGATCTGAATCGACTTCAAAGTTGGGCAGACGATAACGGACTTACCTTTAACACTTCAAAGTGTAAAGTAGTTCATCTGCGACATGTCGCAAACTACAGCTACAACTTAGGGAACTCCTCTCTAGTAGTATCCCAATTCGAAAAAGATTTAGGAGTCCTGGTGCCCCATGATTTGAAGTCTTACGCTAACTGTGACAAAAATGCCTTCCGAGCAAACCTTGCACTGGTAACGTTGAGGCGCATTTTTGGTCAGTTTGACGGAAGAACTTTCCACACAATCTTCAATAGCTTCATCCGTCCCCATTTAGAGTACGGAAACATAGTACTCCCCCCTCACTCCAAAAGGACAAGGTCACTTTGGAGCGTATCCAACGGCGAGCCACGAAATCAGTTCGAGGACTCAAATCTAAGCCTTACGAAGAACGCCTCCGTTCACTAGACCTTTACTCATTAGAATATAGGCGTCTTAGAGGTGATTTATTAATGGCTTATAGTATTCTTAACACTTCTGGACATCCTCTTAAACACCTACTTAAGCTTATTTCGAATAATAACCTAAGGGGTAACACCCAGAAACTGGGAACACAACATAGCAAGACGGAATGTAGACACAACTTCTACTCCTTAAGAGTTGTCAAAAGCTGGAATTCGCTGCCGGCCGAGCTAGTCCAAGCGACTTCTCAGGAGTCCTTCAAGAGGCAACTTGACCTATTCTTAAGGACCAAGAACAGCATCACACTATGATTTACCAATCTCTTTTCCTTTTTTATTGTTAACATACCTAGGTTCCTGCCTGGAGGATTTGGTGATCCCCTGCTACTAGACACGGAAGCCTGTTAAGCGAAAGCTTCTTCTATTCCGTCCACAACCATTTGAACCATTTGATTGATTCATCTATATAAAAAAAGAACAGTTCTGTACAGAAACAAATGTGTATGTATAACGATAGGAATAATCAATCGAAAGGAATTCTAATTATCATCATCATAATAATAAAACGAGTCATTAGTAAACACGAATAGACTTCAACAATAAATATCACACAATGACAAATAGAAAAGTATTTTATTCAAATTAATCAATGGAACATCTTTCTGATCAAATTAAACACTTAAAATAAGTGATTATACAATTTGTTTTTTGTTTAACAAAATACATTCATATATGATAGTAATATGTTGGCGCAGTGGGTATATGTGTTTCTGGGTGGGTGGGTGAGGGGTAACGGAGAGAGATGGGGGGGGGTGTGGAAGAAACAACTCATATAAAGAGATTAAAACTATAAGAATTTAAAGAAGAAAAAATAGTTGTGTACAAGGATATTGTGCTGTTTTGTATTGTGTTTTTTTCGTTCCTTTTAATATTATTAACGATTGAACCAAACTTTGAGAAAACTGGGGGTGGGGTGGGAAACAACCAAACAGTTAGAGTAAACAAAGTTTTTGATTTTAAGTTAAAGTAGAAAAAAATACATCAAGCCGTTTAACCCCTGTTATCATTTAATTGTTTACTGATGCATTTGTAAGAAAAATAATAAATTATTCGGTAAATAAGCTTGAACTGATGGATTCGATGCAGTCAATCCATAATGATTTGCTACACGAGCAGCATGACAAGCTAAAGTCACATGATCCAAGATTTGTACACGAGATTCTAGGAGTACATGATGAAAACGTTTATAGAGGATAGTTAAAGAATTCCGATTGGTTGCATCTAAATGAGCACCACATTTAACCAGAGTATGAACAAGAGAGGCCTACCAAAAAAAAGGGATAACATATGAATGAAAATAAATAAATATATTTAAAGCGAGAGTCAATTATTGAATAGTACTTCAATGTTGAATGTTGTTAGATTTACATGTATTGAACGGATTCAGTCGATCAAGTGATCGATAAGTTAATTGATCCAAAGAAGATCTGAGACCTTTTTCATGTTAGTCGTTGGGACTCATTAGCTGAGTATATCCACAATCTAGAGACAATTGACTATGACACAGAATTCAATCTCACGCGAAACAACAATCCTCTAAAAATCGTCCATATGTCACATAGTCCACTTACGAGAAACATTAGTTAATAAGATCTCTCTAAGGAAATAAGTTAACAAGATGATATGTAGGTGAACAAAATAACGAATGGTTGCTTACGTGGTCAGACTACTAGATAATCTGATAGGTATTAGGTGTGTTATTTATTTTCCGACTCCTTTTTATCATTATTGTTGTCGGTTGTTGACATTGAAATACATTCACGTTTTAGTCAGACCAGTCACGCGTTCTTGAGCTTAGTTGTCCTGATGTCTACTATAATAGACACTTGCAGGGTATCATCTAGTGTAGATATTCGTCTAAGGCAACTCATTGTCCCATTGGTGTAAAGGAGAAAATTGAGAGTCATTTCAGTGGCGACGGTAGTTGAAACGGACCTACACGCATATACTCAGTCAAAGTGGATTTTATATCAATACAATGAATATTCTGAAATCATTATTGAAACAGCAAAATGCTCTTATCGAATTGCTGGTCAAGAATATGTCGATATCTTGAAAAACGCAGGTATCTAATTCTACTATGACTTCGAATACTGAGATTATTATAATAAAACTCCGAGTTTTGGAACATGAAAAGTTTTGTAGTTTTATTCTCTTAAAGAATCCAGCCGACCTAACCTTCTTGGGAACAGTAGAGTGCCTGACACATATTTGATGGAACGATCATCAATGTTTCACATTAGATATTAGTGTCTTCAGTTTGTAAAAAAACACTGGATGACTAAGTGACGTATGTCAACATCGCAAACCGGGAATGTGAGCAGTTCTGAATACAGGAAATATCGCCCGACCAGTTTAGATGTTTTACTTTTGTGTGTGGATTACGATCAGCGGCAGATACAGATATCACAACACGGATGCCACACAAATCACTTGATTTGTGTGTGGGCTGTGTTACTGCCCGGGTGCCCAGACCGAAGCAGGTTATTGTCTCTAGGTTATAAGCAACAGTTGATGCGAATCCATGACATTGAAATGAATTCTTCTTATTCTGCTACATTTGTTATTTTCGCTTTATCAGAATGGAGATTTGTGAAGACTGCAGATCGGCTCATGAATTCACTTGCTAAAATTACTACAATCTCCATAAATCCTTATTCTGATAATAATCATGTGCTGATTATTGACTGGCTTCAAGATGGAACTCCTGGAGTTCTAGTGAGAAGTCGTGACTACTGGAGACACTTATTCACTTTAGACAATGGATGAAAGGTTGCGCAAGAACATAAATCAATTGAAATTAGATATTAACAGCGCTGGATGCCAACTCGGTGGTCTAGAGGTTAAACGTTCGTGTGCTAGATCAAAGGCCCTGAGGTTTGGGTCCCACGTGAGAGATCGTGAGTGTACACCACTGCAGAGTCCCAGACTAGGACGAAATGGCTTTCCAGTGCTTCCGAGTTTTCACTCGTCGTCTAGCCTAGGTCGACTCATAAATTCAGCTGTTAAAATTTTTACTCTAGCTAAATTTATCAAAGGAAAAAACGCTAGACTTCTGTAATTAAATGTTTTTGAATCATGATTGAACAAGGACTCAAAGATTCCTTTTCATTTAATGAAATGAATCCGTATTATATGGGCTATTATGTGCACAGGTAATTCGATGGAATATTGAAATAGCATATTTACAAAATATGGATGAAAATACACTTCCTGGATTCGACTACCTACCTGAAAAGTAGAAAACAAAGCAGAAAAATTACATATAATTCAATGTGGAATAAAATGCTCACAAACACACACACACATATATATATAAGTATATATATTCATATACATACATGTTCAGAACTTTTTAATCGACGTTGTGCTAAAACATGACCAATCGGACGTTGTCCATCAACATCAGCACAATTAGCATCAGCGCCTAATTCAAATAGCAAAGATAAAACATTGACATTTGGAAAAGTGCAAATTACAAAACGACCAACAGTTGAAGTTTCTGGTGAACAAGCTAAATGTATTAAACTTTGACCACGATGTACTCTAGGATCTAACTTGACTAATCTATAAACCTAGATAAAAAATAATAAAGAAAATGTTAGTCAATAAATTGTATGAATAATTCTTTATTTGACGAACAAAATCGATTAACTGCACATACCTTACCTTGTTCAAGGTGAAATAATTATTTACTTAATAGTTGAGATCATGAGTCAATTGAAGATAGACCACCATGGAGAACCTGGACGGCCGTTTCGTCCTAGTATGGGGCTCTTCAGCAGTGCGCATCCACGACCCCAACTCGCGAGATGGGAATGCAGGACTTATCAGTCTCGCACACGAGCGCTTAACCACTAGACCAGGTTTTCCATAGTGCTCTAGCTTCAATTAACTCATGAAAACAACCATTAAATTACTATAATATCCACACAAAATACCCTTCACTGGTTATAATTATTTATTTATTGTAATTATATAATGAACATTGAATCTATTCGAAATGAAACAATACAAACCTATCGCTTACACATTATTTATAAAAACAATTAATTAGTGAATTAGACATTAAAGAATTCAGTCATCAATCGTTAAGTCCCAGGTTCGAGATCAGCTTCATCTTGGCATCTAATTAGTAATCAATAACTCCTTGCAAATGAGTTACATTAAACTAATGAAAATTATTCAAAACGGTGATCTGTGATCGATTAATGAACAACAATAGACAGCCCCTCCTCGAAATGCTCTCACACGGACACGCGTATACAGCCTATGCCAGGGAAGTCCTACTCACTGCCTTCTCGTGGCGGGAGTGTTTTTTACGAAAATGAGAGGACGAAAAGAGAATGTCCGGCACTTTAGCCGGATCCCAAACCAATGGTGCACATGGGCTCCAGTATCCTGCGGGAACGAATTGCGTATGAACCAATCGTCGTTCACCGGCTACCATGAGACCGCATCTCTTCACGATGCTCAACTGCCTTGTGGATCAGACCTCTAGGTCAAAGGCACGGGGTGTGGCCCCCTAGGAAAACCACCTGCTTCGGTCTGGGCACCCGGGCAGTATAACAACCCATATACAAATATGATGAAATGTCGATATTTATGGAAAATACTTTTCTTACTTCGATTAACAATCAAACGATTCACATTATTATTATTATTATTATTATTATTATTACTATGATTGTTACTATTAGTTTTTACGTCATATATTCACTCTCTTTTATTCCCACTCTGTCTATCCTTACTTTTCGACTTATACAGCAGCTCGCCTATGTTGGAAACTCCGTTCTATCTAAACGTCCTCGAGTTACAGGCTGGTTGAAAATTGTATGCTACCACCAAATACGAATACTGAAGCAGTTTTTCTGAAACCACGTGCACCATTCAAACTGGCTGCCTTCAACGTTTGCACACTCATGCAAGTCGGACAACAGATAGGACTGGCTATGTCTTTGCAATGTCTATCCGAGACCCGTATTCAATACTCTGGTGAAGTACTACAAATTCGCATTCCATGTGTCGCTTCAAAAAGCTTGTTTTACGTGCGTTTATCCGACGACCCTGTGGCATCTTCCGTCTGGTCTTGCTGGGGTTGCCCAATCACACCATTCCTCTTCAACTTTGCCATCGATGACATTCTGGAAACAGCTCTGATGGATGTAATTAATGGCGGTGTGGATCTGTTGTCTGGAGAAAGACTTCTCGACCTTGAGTATGCGGATGATATTGTTTTACTGTAAGATAATGCCCAAGCCATGCAATCCGCACTTAATTAGTGTTCGTAAGTATGGTAAGTGTTTTGCACCTTCGAAGTGCAAAGTACTTCTACAAGACTGGCAGCATTCTAATCCTGTACCCACCCTCCATGGTGAGCAGATAAAAGTAGTCGAGAAGTTCGTGTATCTGGGTAGCTGCATCGGTGCTGGTGGGGGTGTGAGTGATGAGATCAATGCACGTATAGTGAATGCCAGAGCGGCTTATGCCAATCTGGGCCACCTTTGGCGCCTTCGTGATGTCAGTCTGGCTGTAAAACGTCGGGTCTACAACGCGTCGGTGAAAACAGTTCTACTCTACGCTTGTGAAACCTGACCTCCCCCAGTTGAGGATGTTAGACGACTCCCTGTGTTCGATCGTCGCTGTCTCCGAAGGATTGCTGACATCCAGTGGCAACAACATGTTAGTAATGCAGAGGTTCAGCATCGTGTGTTCGGGCGCAGAGGTGATAATGCAATTGATGTCACCATCTTGAAACACCGACCTCGGTGGCTTGGACATGTTCTCCGAATGTCGTCCCAGAGAATTCCACGTCGTGCATTATTTGCCGACTGTGGGACTGGTTGGAATAAGTGGAGAGGTGATCAGTGTATGACATGGTGTCGTGGTATGAAAGGCTGCAAAGGTCTGGCTTCTGTTGATCCTTCACGACTCCCTGGCTGGGGTCCGAGAGATGGTGCATTACAGTGGCTAGAGACATTATCAGATATGGCTCAGAATAGAAGCCAGTGGCTATCCTGCTGTAAACTTCTTTTACTTTCTTCATATAAAATGGTTGCTTCTTTAACTGAAAGATTTCTTCTTGTTGTACCTTTCCGCCCCTCCCCATTATTACTATTACTACTATTATTAATTATTACACTACCTTACACTAATCTGTTCGTTGTTGTTTTTTCTCTCTTTAAATTCTCATTGTTTTGTGTGGCGCATATATATTTGGTGTCCTCTTGTACCAATATTTATGTGTTCAAATGAATAAATTAC